AGTCGTGTGTAGTCCACATATCTTCAACATCAAATGAGATACAAAAATCAGCGGGAAAAATCTCTTATCCATGACCTGTAACTTATCAACCAATCAAAACACGCCACATCATCACCACGAAACCTCCACTCTTATCTTCGTCCTTCTCCACTAATCTTATTTCTCCACAGAATCTAAAGCTCATCTCTCATCTTCTTCTCTATATCCACCACACTTCTCCACAATCAAACCCTAGAATCCGAATTCTTCGCAAAGAGAGAGAGAGAGCTATGTCGCTCACAATCCCAACGAATCTCGTTCTGAATCCGAGATCTAACAAATCTCTCTCTCAATCGTTACCTAAATCCACCGCCAGATTCGTCTGCTCCGATGACAAATCCGCCGCGACGACTCAAACCCAGCAATCCATGAAAGCTTTCTCCGCTGCGGTTGCGCTTTCCTCCATCCTCCTCTCAGCTCCGATGCCAGCCGTCGCTGATATCTCAGGTTTGACTCCTTGCAAGGAATCGAAACAGTTCGCTAAGAGAGAGAAACAACAGATTAAGAAACTCGAATCCTCTCTTAAGCTTTACGCTCCTGAAAGTGCTCCTGCTCTTGCTCTTAATGCTCAGATCGAGAAAACCAAGCGCAGGTTCGTCGTCTCCTTCCTTGTACACACTTATTTTTCTCAGAGATTTTGCCAGATTTCTGGAAATTGGAAATAGTTTAGATCTAAGAGATGGTTCCGTGTTTGAAAATCGATCTCGATTATCATTTGCTCTTGATTTGGGGTTTTAGGGTTCTTACTTGTTTCCCAGATCTATATGCGGTAGTGAGATTCATTGATCTGATCAAACTGTGAATCGATTAGAGATTCGGGCTTCTAAAACTGAGATTGATGAGTTTCTGATACCAATTTCACTCGAATTTGTGTGTTGATTTGATTATCAATGGAAAATGAAGAGCTTGTCACTAAAAGTATCTTGGATTGATTTGATATAAATGTTACCATTAGTGGAAATTGATGAGCATTATGATTCTGATTTTTTTAATTGATGTTCCTGTGAATTGGAAAATTTGTGGAGTTTTTTTGTGTCTGATATCGAATTTTGATGTTTTGTTAGGTTCGACAACTACGGGAAGTACGGGCTTCTGTGCGGTGCGGACGGTCTACCACACCTGATAGTGAACGGAGACCAGCGGCATTGGGGAGAGTTCATAACTCCGGGGATTCTTTTCCTCTACATTGCGGGATGGATCGGGTGGGTTGGAAGAAGCTACTTAATTGCGATAAGTGATGACAAGAAACCCGCAATGAAAGAGATCATCATCGATGTTCCTTTGGCTAGTCGTCTCATCTTCCGCGGTTTCATTTGGCCCGTTGCTGCTTACAGAGAGTTGGTCAACGGCGATCTCATTGCTAAGGATGTCTAAACTCAAAAACTTTTAAGTTTTTCTCTCTTTGTGTTTTCCATTGTACTTAAATTCAACTTGAAAAAACCAATGCATCGTCGAAAACTTTTTAAAAAATTGGATTGTGCGAGTTAGAAGAACCAAATGACTAAAAACGCGATTGTGACTGCGCTTGCGGTTAGCTCAACTCTTTGCTCTGTGAAGTTCAATTGCTAAAATGGAATTTCATGATACCACAATACAATGGGCCATAAGATTGGGTAATGAAGTAGAAGCCCATACATAAGTCACATGTATACAAGTGTG